TTTTTTTTTTTATTGTTGTGATTTTGATATGTTTGTCTGGAACAGGTCTCTCTTGTAAATCAGACACTGAGTCTCAATGGGACTATTTGTTTAAGCGGAATAAAGAAAATCCAGCCGTGAGCTTGTAATGCTATTTTTTCCTTGGATTCTACTGAAGTAGCCTTGAATCAGTCACAGTTCTTCTGGGTCTTTGTGTAGCGACTCAGTTCATCGACTGACTGAAACAAGCCTCCTTCACCTCCTTCTCCTTTAAGCCAACTTTCTTCTGATTGGTGGCCCCTAACAAATAAAAAGTCTGAATAGCAGACTGGGTGGGTCATATTAAAGATATACCTTATGATTCAAATCATACAGATCTAAAAGTAGAAAAAATGCCCAAAATTCGGCATATAGAGCAGTCTGAAGCAAGAGCTTTTAGATCCAAGGGATTACTTGCATAGAGACTGATCTCATTGTTTAAATCATTGTGGATGGTTATCGCTCAGGTCATCTACCAATCAGAAGGTTAACTGTTAACTTAATCGCTTTGTGTTTGCAGCAGTTAGGAAACCCTGCACATACATAAAAGTGCTGTGTGACGGGATGAATGAGACTTGCAGTAGAAAGCACATTGAGTGCTCAATTGAGTAGAAAGGTATTATAAAAGTACCGCTGTAGTGACCATTTAACAGCACATGTAAGCCCCATATACTGGTCTAGTGATATTTTTAAATCAAATGTGATTTATATATGTTGATTATTGAGTAGACAGTGTTTAATACTCACATAGGGTCAAGGTAGGCAGATGGCTCATCCAGCAGCAGGATACGGGCTCTACTGAGGATGGAACGGGCAAGACAAACCAGCTGTTTGTGTCCATTGCACAGCACGCTGCCTCCATACTCCAGCTGAAAGTCTAGCTTGTCTGGGAACTGCTCAATCACAGACTTCAGACCCACCTGAGGGCACACAAGACAGAGTTTACTTTTACTGAAAGTCTGAAGTTCCACATTATCTTTACCTCATTTTTATCATTTTAAAACATTAGTGTAAACTTCATGACATCAATGTTGAAATGGTGGTAAAACTGCATGGCAGTAATTTTACCAACATCACTGTCCTATGCAGACAGTACAATAATTCCATATTTATTCCTAGCATGAGGGGAAAGCTCAAAGAGGGCATGTAAGATTGTGTCTAACTCCAAAACATGAGCTTTATTATCTCTAATTGAATCAAAACAAGGCTGCTTTATCAATCATAACTAAATTACGAAACAAAGAAAACACCGCCTCCTCCTCACCTCCTCAGCCACCTTCCACAGTTCTGTGTCGCTGTAATTTCCATGTGGGTCCAGGTTCATCCGGAAAGTTCCAGTCAGGATAAAGACTTTCTGTTCAAGAAAGACCAGAGACTTAAACAGTTAACTCTCAACAGACTGGATTAAAAAGATATCTTGTAACATCCAAGAATAATGACTTAAGTTTCAAAACATTAAGTCATTTTTCTTGTAAAACAGAGGGGGGCCTAGCAAAAAACAGTTTGGGAACCACTGGCTTAGACCGTTTTTAGACCCAGATAAGCAGTAGATGCTGGGGTAACTGTCTGAACCTGCATCAAATATCAGAAGTTAATCACTCATAGATATACCTGTGGCACCACACCGAAGGCCTTCCTCCATGTTTGCAATGAGACAGAGTTCCAGGAAACACCATCGATAGAAATGTCTCCTTCTGTGGAGGTGAGACGCAGCAGAGCAGACAGCAGGGTGCTCTTCCCTGAACCTGTTCGACCCAGCAGACCAACCTGCACACAGTCATAACATTTTCATGGTAAATGCTCATATCCAGCTTTTTCTGTTATGTAATACAATTAATGAACTCGGTCAACATGCCCTCATGTTGAACGGGTTCATTGACCTTGTGTCTGAATGCTCATCCTTTTTATTGTAATATAGATGACAGCACTTTTTCATTTGCATGGCTACTGTGTCAGTTTACTTGTGCCCTGCAATAAGACATATATTCCCCGGACGCCCAATGGCTGCCCACTGCTTCACTGAGTGAATGGGTTAAATGCAGAGAGCGATTTTCCCCACGGGGACCAATAAAGTACACTTTCTTTCTTTCATATAATCATTTACCGTTTCTCTTTAGTTTAGCTGGCGTCGTACTAACATCAGTTTCTTCAGAAGCACCACTAAAAGCTGTTCGCACCTTACAAAAAGGGATCTATCGTTGTTACTTGAATTTTTGTTATCCTTCTCTCCATTACTCCATTTAATTTAAATTTTAATTTGAAATAGTTAATAATAATTTGAAATAGCTCGCTCCATCTATGAGCTACACAAAAGGGCTGATGTTTCTTTTGATGGAGCTGTTTTTAAATCTTTGGAGGGGAAGAGTTTGTGGTCTAGATGGTCTAAAAGTCCTCTCTTCTTTCTTCCTTGTGCTGCAACAATTAGCACATTTGTCGTGAAGCTATTGAGCAAAACTATTGGCACAAAACTATAGTGCAGATATTTACTGTGCTCTGATTCATTATGACAAAGTCATACTGACTATAATTACTGCCAAAACCAATGGTGGAGAGCAGAGGTGCGAGTGGTCAGATATTGCATGTCTTCTCTTTTCTACAGAAAGCTAATTCAAAATCATAAGCCACTTTAATTTTAAACATGTGTCATAATGCCATCATGCCATGATGTCATAACCGACACTCACTCAGGGCCGTGCTTACTTAGTCATTAGTAGATTGCTATATCTGTGTTATTGTTTGGCCAGGTTCAAGCCTTATTGTAGCTCTAGAGAGAAATAACATTTTGCTCATTTGAAAATGAATAAATGAGCACAAAAATTTGATTCCCTGCCCAGATTCTTCTAATTTGCAACTTGAAGCTATACGCACAGTTCTTGGCCACTTAGGGAGGAAAGGAAAAAGCTATAAACAGAACTGTGATATTATCACTTTTTGTCAGTTTGTTAGCAAACAGTTGCCTATCTGTATGCACAGAGCAACACTTCCACTTGGAATAGTGTTTCCAGTTCAGTCCACATACACTTTTCTGAAGTCTGTTTTAATCTCTGTCTTAGCTCATAATTTTGTCTCCTGGTTTGGTTCAGAAAAATACTGAAAAGAGTTTAACAGAACTCCAACAAACCCATTTAGCATAGCAATTAGATTCAGTGTTAATATAAAAAATTGTTTGCACAACATTAGCTGAAAACAACAACCAGAAATGTGTTCACGTGTAACCATCCCTGTGACACATTCCTGTGGCTGGCTAGTATATTGTTCACAACCTTTCTGTGACCTAACTATGGCACTTGAATTGCTTTATCGCTTGGGGGGAATTATTCTTTTGTTTGGTAAACCTAATTAGGCAGAGGTACCATGCTTTCTCCTGCCAGGTTCCACAGGCAGTCTCTACCAATCACTAAGGACTTACGCTTTGTCCCCCCTCCACAGAGAAGGAGATATTGTTGAGGATGGCACGCCCAGCCTCTGTGTATTTCACTGTGAGGCCCCGGACGTCCAGCTGGCCACAGTTAGGCCAGCAGTCACGTGCATGGGGGTTGTCAATGACGATATCAAGGCCTCTGCCACCTCCTTTAGGTTTCCCCAACCGAGGATCTTCTGATGGTAGGTCGATGAATTTGAAT